GGTTTTGTATCAGTGACCTGTCTCAAACTTTGGCTTGCCTGCAAACCACCAGTAATGATTCTGTGCTTTCTTTTAGGTCATTGATCACACATTAAGTGGTGCAGGGTCAAGAACCCATAGCAAGGAAACTGTGCTGTGCTCAGTGATGAGTCTGCTTACAATTGCACTCTGAGACCTGTCGGTTAGTTTTCAGTCCAATTAATACTTGTCATATGACTTACATTGTTCCTCTTTCTCAGTCAAAATATTGTGAAAGACAAGATCAGCTGTCTTACCAACTGAAGGTTTATTGTTTCAGCAGTACTACTTGAAAATCATGATATTTAGTTAAATTGACAAAGCCTAGTTTTCCTAACGTTGCAGTATCTTTTGAAATGGTTTATCAATGAGGCTTTTTAACAGTCCTGTGTTATTTTGCTTGGAATTGCTATCTCATTTGCTCAGATAAAAGTCATATTTTCCCCCACAGGTCCCTGCTTTATTGCAAGAAGTAATACCTCCACCATGTCTTATGCAGACAGGCTTGTCCTTTTCTGCCTGTCACCCAGACAGACAGAGAATTAAGAAGATAGCACGTGGAGGGATGGTACCCACGTGAATACATAACCTCTCTTGAGAGAGCAGCATTGTCTAATAAAAAGATCTCCAATCAGAATTCATTTAAGTCTAGCAAATTACTGAAAATGCCTCTTTAAAGTGCAAAATTCTCCTCCTCCGGCACTTTAAATCTCTTTGATGCTGATTAAAAAGTGACCAGCTTGAGATATTGTTTGAATGGGAATATTTTGTTGTGCAAGACATAAGCACAGAACTTTCCTCTGCTTGCCTAACAAAGAAGGCCTGTAACCAGCACCATAAAGAAATGTAGGTAATACTGAGGTGGAAAATAGCAAAGTTAGCCTGATAGGAATTGTTATAATCTTTGATTTCCGTTCAGATTTATTCTGGGCTGGTATATTAGTGTAAATTGGATTCATTTGCCTGCTCAGTACCTGGCTCTGCTAACACTTGGAATATAGAAGGATTTTAGGTCCTTTTTTTTCTTTTTTTTTTCATTTTTTTCTTTTTCTTTTTTGCTTTTTTGCTTTTTTGCTCCCAAGAGATTTTGATTTTTCTCACCTCACTGCATGTGGATTATTACTTATCTATATTGTGAATAAATTATTTTAATACGTTTCTAGAGGAAAAAAAAAAAAAAGCAAAAAAAAAAAAGCAAGCATTTTTCCTCATCTATCACTGCATACCAAATAACCAGTTTTTAAGACCCTAGGGGATTTAAAGCAAATTTATTTACCCTCATTGAAGGAAACGACATTAAACTTACCATGGAAAAGTGCTGTAATTCTCCTTTGCTGTACATACATTACCAAACTGAAAACACTTAAGGATGAATTACACCAAGATTTTGCTATAGGTTTGGGATTTTTTCCTTATTGCTGCAAAGTTCTCAATGCAAATATATTTTCCCTTACAATGTGTTTGAAATCCAGTGCTACCCTGATCCTATTTTTTTTTTTGAAGCTGACAAGGAGATATGCATGCACAGACCATTAATTGTTATTAATGTCAAATGGGCACTGAAATCCACTAAGTGGTTTTGAAAAATCAGAGCTTATTCTGCATCTGATGGACCCTGTGAGGGTAGTTGTGTATCATCTCCACTCAGTCTTACTGCAGACGGGGTGCAGGTGCTTGTCCCCAGTCATCTGCCCCAGTCCTCTGCTACAAGATTTTACCTCAGAAATGAACCATGGATCAGCAGAACTCAGCTGCCATCTCTGCACATCACTGCACATTCATCTTCCAGCAAACTGCTGTAAGAGTAGGAACTCATGGAAGTAAAGTATAGTATTTTTCATTCCTCTGGTGCTGTCCATTTGATAATGTTCTACACTTTCAGCTGGTTACTCAAAGCACATTACTGAGGGGAAAAGAAAGAGACAAACACAATTTGTTTGTCATAAACAAATGCCATAAAATACCGTTATCAAGTACTCTGAGACTACTCCAGGAGCATTATTTTATCTCTTGTTTCAAATGGAAGAATATGCTCCACTTCCCATTTGTTGAATAATTCTAACATTTTGCTGCTTAGGTTACCAGTGTATAACAAAGCCACTTTTATCCTGCTCTGATGTTGCCTCGTATTCAGAAAAGTTAGGGAGCAAATACTAGGTTCATGTTCATGCATAAGTCACTGCTGTAGTCCCATCACTGCCTGCTTCAGTTCTTTAAGGTCCATCACTGGAGTACTCTGATGGATGTCCTGCTGATTTACCGATTGCCAGTGCTGACACTCAGGGGCTTATCAATTGACAGCACAAAGCTTTCCGTGATAAAAATGGATCAATTGTGCACTGATCATCTGCTCCCTGAATTACTGATGTTTTACATTGGAATGATTTTTTGCCTAGATGGCTGCCAAATAAAGAAAGCTTACATACCGAACCACGGGGTCTTTCTCTCTTCAGACAATATTTTCTATAAACCCTGGAGTCTATCTACATGAAAAGATCTATTCACCATATGAAGATAGATCAGTGTAGTGTAAAGATTGTAGGGGAAAATATATTTGCATTGAGAACTTTGCAGTACTGGGAAAAAAATCCCAAACCTATAGCAAAATTGTGGTGTAGTTCTCCCAACGACCAACATTTCAGTGCATTAGAAATTGTAAAATTGTTTTTTTTACATTGAATTCACTCTTATTCCTCCCCTTTTTTTCTACTTTTTTTTTTTTCCTCCAATTTTATTCACATTGATTAATGTGATTAATATTCGACCTTACAGTAAATCCTACGGTATTGCACAATCCACATGGCAGCTATACTGCAAAGTACCAAAGTGATTTAAACTTAGTCTCTCAACTCCCATTTGCTTTAAATAAAACATAACAAGTTAACCTTCTATAGGCAAGTTTTATGCTGAAGTAGGCATCACCAATCCATCATGTCATCTATATCAGATATGATCCCTCTACCTGCAGCTGGAATAAGCTTCCATGTTTTATGCTCTAATTCAACAAAAAAATATAGTTGGGGATGCACATCTAATCTGATTGAACTGAGATTGCTCCTTTAGTAATAGTTTTGACATCATGGCCTTAGTTCTATCTAGCTTCCAATCAATTTCCTTTCGTGCTCCCATCCTGTAGCAAGTAAAACTGATAAGAAAAAAAACCTGCAACTGACCACTCCATTCTCTCCTGCTCAAACACTACAGCTGCCTTTGAGTTGTTATATTCCAAGGGAAGACAACAAAGATGTTCAACAAAGCCAAATGCCAGGTCCTGCACTTCGGCCACAACAACACCAAGCAACACTACAGGCTTGGGGCAGAGTGGCTGGAAGACTGCGTAGAGGAAATGGACCTGGGAGTGCTGATTGATGCTGAACATGAGCCAGCAGTGTGCCCAGGTGGCCAAGGCAGTCAATGGCATCCTGGCTTGCATCAGAAACAGTGTTGCCAGCAGGAACAGGAAAGTGATTGTCCCCCTGTACTCAGCTCTGGTGAGGCCTCACCTCGAGTACTGTGTCCAGTTTCAGGCCCCTCACTGCAAGAAAGACATTGAGGCCCTGGAGCGGGTTCAAAGAAGGGCAACAAAGCTGGTGAGGGGTCTGGAGCACAGGGCATATGAGGAGCTGCTGAAGGAGCTGGGAAAGTTCAATCTGGAGAAGAGGAGGCTCAGGGGAGCCTCTATAAATACCCAAAGGAGGTTATAGTGAGTTGGAGGTTGGCCTCTTCTCTCGTGTAACTGGTGATAGAACTAGAGGAAATGGCTTCAAACTGCACCAGGGGAGATTTAGGCTGGACGTTAGGAAGTACTACTTCTCTGAAAGAGCGGTCAGGCACTGGAATGGGCTGCCCAGGGATGTGGTGGAGTCACCGACCCTGAAGGTGTTCAAGGAATGTTTGGATGTTGTGTTGAGGGACATGATTCAGTGAGAGCTATTGGTGATGGGTGGATGGTTGGACTGGATGATCTTGTAGGTCATTTCCAACCTTAGCATTTCTTGATTCTGTGAAGATGACTTCCAAGGAACTTTACTTTTTCTAACGTCATTTTCAATAAATACTTCTAAGACAGTAACATGGGATCTTTTCCAGCTTCTGCAGGAATCCCTTGCATCCTCTGCAAAGCTTTAACCTTTCCTTTTCCTTAAGCTAGTACTCAGCCTGGCACCCCAGCCCCTGTGGGTTCAAAATCAAGCTTGTGTTTTTCTCTCTCCTACCTCTCTCATCTTTTCAGTCACAGTTTTCCTTCTGCACCTTATTGATTCCTGATCCTGCTCCTCCACAAACCTGCCAGAAGGGAGATGCACTGACCCTACAGGTAACACAAGTGGAACACAGTTTTAGAGAAAGCAGAACTACAGTCACATTTAACCTAAAAGCAGGCCTACAGAACTGAGGAATTGTAGTGCTTAATTTAAGCTTACACTGTCAAATAGGAACATCTGGCTTTTCTGCAGTGTGACTCATCTTCAGCATACAACACTGGGGCAGTGTAGCCAGTGTGCGAAGGAAACCCTGCTAGCAAGGCGAGGAGGGTGAATGCTGTTGACAACAGCCTTGCTGACGTTTTTTTCTTTAAGAGCTAGGAAACGCTGGCCACCTCCAGCCTCGCTGCTGGCACCTTCACCCACTACGGCTCGTACGGGTGGTAACTGTGAGGTAACACGAAATGGCCCCCGTGGCTCTTGGTTGATAGGCGGGCCATACCACTCCTTCACGCGAACAGCATCGCTCGGGGGCTATGCTGAGCCCTGGGATAGCAGGAGGCTGCGGGCAGACCGCTGGCCAGACTTCCCCTCACCTCCATACCAACATCCCCTCCGCCTTTGCCCCTCTTCAAAATGGCGGCGCCCCTCCCCTCAGCACGGCGCTTGGGCCTCTCTACCCTCCTCGGAGGTGCTCCGCTCTCCTCTCGTTGGTGCGCGTCCCCCGCCCCGCCCCGGAGGCGCCGTTTGCGCGTGCGCAAAGGTCCGTGCCTTTACTTCCGCTGTCGGCGGCCGCTTCCGGGCCCCCGTTCCTTGGTAACAATGGAGCAGAAAATGGCCGCCTGAGAGGGGAGGCAGGGCGACGCTGCGGCTTCTTGGGGACGGACGGAGCGCGGCGAGCCGGCACCGAGCCCGCTGAGGACCGGAGAGAGCAGCGGAGCGAGAGCTGAGGAGACGGCGGCGGGCGGTGAGTGCGGAGGCCCGGACGCGGACGATCAAGATGGCACGGGGAAGGGAGAGGCCCAGGCCCAGGGGAGGCGGCGGCGGCCTCCGCCCGACGCTGGAGGCGGCCGGGGGACGCAGGCTCCTTAGCCCCGCTGTGCGGCCCCACTGAGTGGGTTGCGGGTGGCCGAGCCGGGCGGGACGGCCCAGGACTCCGCGGAGCTCGGCGGGCCGCAAACGCTTGAAGTGGAGCGGGGCCGTGCTGGAGCCGGGGGCCGTGATGGCGGGGTGCCCGAGGCCGTGCCCTGCTGCTCTGGATGAGCCGGGTCCCGTCGCCGCGGGGATTTCTCCACCTTCTTCTGGGGCGCGTGATGGAGGAGAGCTATTGGGGCTCCTCTACCACTGGGCAGTTGAGTGGGCGGGGGGCTGGGAGAGGGGGAGGTAACACTGGAAATGGTTCTTTTTGGGAGAGGTGGGGTGGGGGAGGATTACAGGCACCGCCCCAGGCTTTGTACTGCTTAGGGCCTGCTTTGGGATTCCCGGCTCATCAGGTCAGTGCTTGCAGGTTCCTCGCATTAAGGCAGGAGCCCTGTTGGGGGAGGTGAGCGGGAGGAATTCTTCATACCGTTGTGCCTTTTGGGAGGGTCGGGATCATCGCATGACCCATTAAAAGCTGTTGTGATTGGTATTACTGTCTTATTGTTTCTCTTCACTTAGTCGTGTAACATTTATTCTGTTACCTTGTTTCCTGTGCGAGTTTTTCCTTCCTTTTTTAATACTGTCTACTGACATTTGGAGTCTCTGTTTACTGTATTTCAAAACTGTTGTCAAGTGTAACAGTACGATATCACTTTACTTTCAATTATCAGCCTTAATGGAGGAGTAATATCAAGTTGTATAACATGTTCTTTTTAAGGTTCATTATTTGTTTTGATTTTAGTGCGTAATAGGAGTTTGACTGAAGATTTCACAGCACAAGTACACTTTTTAAATTGAATGTTCTTGTTTATCTGTTTTTCAAGATGATAGTCATGAGGAGCTTGTAAATAAGGATTCAGCTGGGACTGTATACAGTAGGGCACTTGCATGCATGATGTGTTTCTCCTGTCCATGTTAATAATATTGGTTGTTTTCCAGTTGTAAGTTGTCATGACAACTTACGAGACGCTCCAGTACTACTGTGTTCCGTAATGTTAGTTGCAGTGACTCGATCAAGTGACTTTAGGCAGTTAATCATCTGAACTGAGAGTCTGATGCTTAGTTTTGTTGGCATGACCAACTGCCATTTAAAAATGACTGCATTCCCTCTACAAGTTTACCATTTTAGAATGAAATTAATTGTAGTTTGGACTTTTGTCACTTCTGCTGCTAACAAGGGGCAGCACGACACACATCATAATAAGAGATGTTGGTTATATTGGACCACTAAGCATAACAGTTACTGTACAGTATTTTGCTCGTCAGCAATTCTGACTCCATAAATGTTTTCTCACTGAGAAACCATGAGCATTTTTTCAAGCTTGTAGTTATTGTCAGCTGTATCAAATTTATTTTCCATATTACTCAGTACATGAACATACCAAGGTGTACTAGAAAGCAGTGCTGTAAGTTTCTGGTCTTCGTTACGTGTTTGTTTTTTTTTTTAATCAGTATTTCTAGGGGAATGAGTAATGTGATCCTTAAATGGAAGTGTTTTTAAAAACACCCATGTATTAATGTACTTGGCTACTTTATTTTTCTGTTCCCTATCCCCATGGAAGTGTTTCAAAATACGTTCCTTAATCTTGGCAGAATGCTTCTCGTTGCAGTGGAAGTGTTGCACTTTTTTTTTTTTTTTACAGTTATAATTTAATGACATTTACTTCAGCTCATAGGTTGCATTTGAATCCAGCTTAATGGAGTTTAAGGAGTTACTTGGCTATTCTAAGTATTTTTTAGAGATTTCAGTTTCAGTGAGGCTTTTTTGCAGTTGTCTCAGAATTGGTGAAAACTTATTCACTCTTTAGTTTGAGAAACTTAATGTTGAAGGGATGAGGCAGAACTTGAACCTCTGTTATATTTTTTGTGGTGGTCTTGTGCATCTCAAAGCTGATACTTCTGAACGATGCAGTAGTGTAACAACTTCAGAGAGAGGACTTCTGTATGGTGAAATGGGCATAGCCTGAAGCACTGTACAGACTCAGTTTTGCATTTGCACAGATTCTTAGCTACTGTTAAAATCAGAAGAAATACACAAGGCCATGTTTCCTTCATGCTGTTGAGATCTGTACTAACGAGGCACTGGTTAGCATCTTTGCTATTTGGCAGTGTTGAAGCTCAGCTTTTTACTTCCTTCAGTTGTACAGTCTCATGAAACCCTCTGATGATAATTGGTTGTGTGAGAAAAGTCAGCATGCACTTTCTCTTAATTTAGTAACTTAGAAGCATTTTACTTAGAGCAGTCTTAATTTCAGTATGCCAGGTGCTTGTGCACGTGATCTTGAGCTTGCCTTAGTTTGTCATCAGAAACTGAATCCATCAGAAATGGAATGCAAGTCTTGCAGGTAGGTTTTTAATGTCAAATCAGTTTTGCTTAATTTTTTCCCCCCATTTTTATGTTCCTTGGATGCTAGACAAGAGCAGCAACAACAAATCCATGCACTGGATTTCTGACGTGGGTTGTATTTGTAGTGAAATTATCACTGTTGTATTGGCCTTTTAGTAGAAGCTGCATTAGCAGTTCCATGAGAACGTGAGAGTGAATGTAGAGCTGGGTTTTTCAGTGGATTTTTATTGGCTTTGTGCTTTCAGTAAACAGAAGTTCTCTTTCCTCAGAAATCAAAACACGGTGTGATGGGCATCGGTTCTGTGGGTACAGCTTCCTTAGCTGTCAGTCCTGTTTACGCTGCTGTCTTTCAGTGTCAGCACCAGTTACTTTCATGCAGAGTATTACTTCCCTGGAGCTTCAGCCTAGCTCTCCTGCCTGCTGAGCCAGCAGGAAGATCGCTGCTGGGGGAGAGAGCGGTTTTGTGAGACTTCTCCAAGTGCAGGAAAGTTGGTAACTCGAGTGTGCTGAGCTTTCTCTGAGGTCACATCACCTCAATTTGAGCAAAGAAGCAGTACCATCTTAATTTTATTTTGAATTTCTATGTGAAAAATGCTGTTTTAATAAGTCTAGGTTGTAAAATGTGATTTTGACAATCCTTGTTGTCTTATATTCAGAGCTCCACCTTCGTTCCCATGTGCTCAATGTTCTGAAATTGCGAAGTTCCACCCTTCTGTGTGGAAGGTAACAATAAACCTGTAATGAATTGCTACATGTTCTAGATACATTTGAAGTGGGGACAGTGGGCGCTTACACAGTGAGATGGCAAGTGTTTCATTCCTTCATACCGGTCTGTTCTGTCAACATGTTTTTATTATTATTATTTTCAGCAACTGGTCTGTAAAATTGTTAATTTGCTTTCTGTTATTTAAAATGTATGTTCTGAATGACATTTTGCTTTGTGGGCTTTGCTTTGAAACACACTGTAGTGATGAATTATCTGAATCCATGTTTAACACTTCATATTAAGCTGGCATTTAAATTTTATAGCGGTCGTAGAAGACATTTTCTTTCAGCTACCAGAAAGAGATGTGTGCTCCATAGTAATTTTTTGAGGCAAAGAGGGCATAAGGGAGTTCTTGAGTGCTTGGAATTTGTAGTAAGTTAGTAAGCCATCTAATAATTGCATAGACTGTCAGAGTGTCTGTAGAAGGCAAGAGTAGCAGAAAAAAGTGTATCCAAAATTCCTGATGCAACTTTGCAAACTTGAAAAGTTTGTTACTAATCTACATGTTAGAAAGGATAACAAGTTAATTGTACTTATGCTGTCATAGCCTTCAGTCTCTTCACAAAAGACTTGTGTAGCTGTAAAAACAAACAAACAAAAAAGCAAAAATCTTGATGTAATGAAGCTCCATGTATCATGCAAACAGCTGTTTGATTCTACTGTTTTATGGTTTCTTTTTTCTTTAATAATAGGATTCACTGACAGTTCTTGCTTATATTTTTGAATTTGTAATCTTGAGTGATGAAATATTTAAGATGAAGATGGACTTCCTGTTATGTTTCTTTCTGCCAGTTTTGAGTATTGAGAAAGCAGGTACTGACTAGCATGGAAGCTATTTCTTCTAGGAAAGCCTGGTGCTTGGACTGGGGAAGATAGAAGGGAGTTGATACTGCATGTGAAGCTGGTTCTGTTTTTGCTTGAAGAACCTGGAGTACCAGAAGTGCCCATTATAGCTCATTCCTGTGTCATTTGAGAAAGGGAATGGGAGAGACTTATGTCTGAGGCTGGTCCTGCCAAATGTGGTGGTATGTTAGAGCTGCTGGAGTCAGAGTTCACAGAAAGTGTTTTCAGCAGACAGCTGGGTTGCTCTTCTTATGTAGAGCTAAAATGCCCTTGAGGTAGCTTCAGTGAAATCAGGGAAAAAATAGTTAACCTGAAACAAGCTAAAATTAAAATGAAAAGTATTTCTGGCTTCCACTACTGAGTTGCTTCTTTGAGTCAAAGGCTTTGATAATTACTGCAGGCTGAATGCAGGTAGGCAAGGTGCTCTACTGGTTGAAGTATCTAATTAAGACGAGGCTATGAATCATAAATGAGAAATTAGCCTTTTGCTGAGCACATCTATGAGATGCTTATTCATATTGCCAATCATCCTCTTTGTGTGCACAAAGGTATTAATCGTGTTGCTGGAACATGAGGTAAGTCAGGAAGCGTGTAACATAAAGGGCACTACAAATGCTCACGTAATGTTGAGGTGCTGGTAATGCCTAGATGGGAAAGTTTTGGAGGAGATCTTTGCACAGCTAGCTTGTGAGTTTGATTTGCTTCTGCTATTTAACTAATTAATTGCCTTTCTCTTCTCAAAAAAGGTCACAAATCTAATGAAGATTTTAGGCTTAAGGTACTGTGTTTTCTTAGAACCCTGCAATTCAAGGGAATAGATCTAGTGATTTATCACGGACTTTTGGTTTTCTGGGAAGTATGGTCCCTGAGTGCTAAGCAATATGGAGACAGTGTTACTGCTGAAAGTAAATGGGCAACTTGAGTATTTTAATACTGCCTGCTGTACCACTAGGTCTTTTAATTGGTTGTAAGTTGGATTTTGTTTACACGTGACTTGTCATAAGGAAAAGGTAAAAACAAAAAACAACAGAAAACTTCTTGTACTGTGTTCTATAAGAGTGATAACTTTGCATTGCTGAAGGAATACCTAAAATCTTACATCATCCCTGTCCAAAGAGCATAACATTACTTCCTCTTGAACAAAACAATGTAATCAAACACTGGGGGCTTGCTGTGTTGCTCCTGTGGCAGCAGTGGAGCTGTAGCTCATCAGTTGTGCTCTGGTATCTATCTGTGTGACTGCTGGAGTGTAACTGCAGGGAAGGTCCTCTGCTGACTTGTCAAAGGATGGGAACACCAATTAGGAGTTCACTGCTGTTAATGTGTCTGAGTATTCATTCACCTGCAGAAGAATGGTTTTGTTTTTAAAAAAAGTTTATTCCAGCAGTGGCTCAGTATGCTATCTTGTTTTGGGTAAACTTTAAGTGATTTTTCCTCTTTCCTATAAAGAGATTTTCATTGCTGGATATCTCAGCTACAGTTGGCAATAATCAACAGGTCTGAACTTCCTACTCGCAGATGTGACCTTCCCCACCCTTTGTAAACTTAGTGCTGACAAGAGAGGACACTAAAGGAGGAAATACTGATTCTTTTCACTTGAACAAGAATAAACCAGTAGAAAAGAGAAACAAGAGTTGAAGCACACCTGCTTATTAGATAATCAAATGCTAGTCATTCTTCTGAAAGTTAATTGCATACCTGCAGATTTTCCTTCATCAGGTTTCCCTATGTTGCTGTAGTCAACTTCCTTAAGCCAGTAGTAATTTTCTGCAATGTGTAAGCTGAGAGCAGAATCCTGAATGAGGAGTGGGTTTTCCATTTGATTCTATGATTGTGTGAGGCTCCAGCTTGTCCAAATAGGAGTGGAGCGATATGCGCTCCCGCCATGGAGATCTGCTGGAGGATGTGTGACCTGCAGAGTCGTACTGAGACAGCAGGAAAAAAAACTCAGAATGGCTGAGTATGTTCTATCTGGTAATGTAGAGCTGTGCAGCGGTGTAGGAGATGAGCCTTGGAATGGCCAGAGCGTGCAGTGAAGAGAAATAGTGGTAGAAGCTTCAGAGCAGAGACCCTGTTTTCCATTTACTGGTTTTAGTGTCCAAGCTCTAGTTGGAAGAATGTTGGCCTGTTTGCTATCAGTGATGAGAAAGGGAGAGTGTTGTTGCATATGTTTCTGCCCCACTTGTCTTCATGGACAAAAACATCCTGTAGGAATTCATAGCATTTAGAGGACATTGAAGGTAAATGATGTGAAACGGGGGTTCAGTGGGCTAGTGTGCTCTGTTTTGCTGGCTCATGTTGGGAAGGTATAGTGAGTTTGGCACTAGTGGAAATAGCCCTACTGTAGATGGAACTGATTATCAAAATCTCAGCTCTAAGGCAGTTTTCTTGGCAGGAGTATTTTTTCTATATCAGCCAATGGCTGATCTTACAGTTTAAGAGGGAAGATGAGAATTGAAGGTGGAAGAAAGGGGAGCAGACCGAACCAAATAAGACTTTGCAGTACTCTCAACATTCCCTTAAGGTTGGCTGTTGAAGTGTACACAGTGGTAAAGAAGAGATGATTTTTTCTCAGCGTAACTTGTTTTGGCACTTTGTTCCCCTGATCAAGAATAGCTTTCACTTTGTTTTCTGAAAAAGCCTTTGTATCAAGGAGGCATTATATAGCCAAGGCGCCTGTAAATATCAAGTAGCAACTATTTTGAGGGAAATATTTTATAAGTAACTTTTTGCTGCTCCTATCCCTTAGTAGGCTATTGCATTCTCTGCTTTGTTGACTTTGCTTTATCTCCTTTAATAAGTTTAAAAAAAAAAAAAAGGGGGGTGGGGGGCAATGCTAGTTAGAGTTGTAATCCATATTCCTAAAATTAATGCATCTTTCTGGGTTTTCTTTTGGATTCAAGTCCCTAATTCTAGTCAGTGTTCAGATGATTCTTGTAAAAAGCAGCTTTGACTCTCTGATGTTCTCTTGGAATGAATATGTCTTGAGGTTAGTTAGGGTCATAATTCTGCTCCAGAAAGCTTGTAAAAAGCTGTTTGAGTTTCAAGCAAGCTGTGTTCTTGTTAGAAGGATGTGTCTGAGATCTGAAGGGTGTACAGATTTTATAGCTGAGCCCAGTCTGAGCTGAATTTACCTGCTGGATCTGTTGTGCAACTTCCCCTGTGAATGGCTTCATTTATCAGTCTGTTTGACACTGCATCACATGCAAGTCTTCAGACTGTACCAGAGATGTAGCTGCTAGGCTGCCATTTGAGACACTAGCAAGCAGTGTGATTGCTGCTACTTTTTGATTTTAAAAAAAAAAAAAAAAAAAAAAAAGGCAGAAATTAACAGGGCAGAAGGCAGTGACCTTCCACACCTGTAACGGGGGGCCGTCGAAACATTTGTGCCTTACTGTGACTAACCTGAAAGCAAGCTTTACTGTGTTAGAATTCAAGGTAGGATAGGAGTAACTGTTTTCTGATCTGGAAGCCTGCAGTAGTGGGTTGGCCTATCCTGTGGTATTTTGTACTGTCCCCTGCTGGGGATACCAGTGCCCTTTAATTTTCACTGTAGCAGCAGAAATAAACTGCTCTTGGAGATTCCACATTGCTTCTCTCCTGTGGAGAAACACTAGTGTAGTGGGACAGCTGTGCTGGCATACAAAAAAAAGTTACTTTTTGCTTTAGACAGATGTCTAAGTGCTGAAAATTTTCCAGTAAGAAGGAAAAGCTTTATTCTTCTGGTATTTTCATGTCACATGAAACATGGTTTGAATGAAAGGAGCATTTTTTAATGGGGAATATTATTATAGAGCTTTTTAGCATGCAGAGGATTAGCGTGCTAATCACCTCTCTGAGTAACTAGATTCTACCAGTTGTACAGGGAAATTCTTAATGTTGTGAATAGCAAGCCATAATGATTAAGGAAACTTCATTTGATGTATTTGCATGGTGTAACCAGTGCCAGAATGTCTCCTGCATTTGCAGGTATTTTGTTTTAATTTTGATCAAATACAGACATTGTGTTCATGAATTACTTTTTTGTTTTGAGACCTTGTGGCAGATCTTATCGAAATGAAAAACAAAATGAGGAGCAGATGAGAGTGAATGAATAAGTTCTTGGTAGCATAAGTTATGACATGTATATACACACTGGAGTTCTGGCATGCAATTTGTTTTGTCATCAGCGTCAGAAATTCACTAACTACTAAAACTTGCAAGCAAATTCTTCTCTTGACATGAAACCACAGACCTGATGTTCCAACCCCCCCCCCCCTTTTTTTTTTTTTTTTTTTTTTTTTGAGGAATCTTTTAGCCCTTGTTGTGGGTTTCCCTTTTTCTTTTTCCATGTACAGTGTTCTGTTGCATCTTCGGACTCATTTAAATCCTAAATAATCCAGTAATTCTGTTTAAAATTGACTTGGATTTTGAAGAAAGTCTCTCGTATTTGTCAGCGAACTAGATTCCTGTTTTCTTTACCATAGTGAAGGCAGAAAGAAGGGATGAATGTTTAATTCAGTCTTAGAGCTGGAGAGCATAGTCATGGGTGCCTTGTACCTTGTACTGTGCTGTTGTATGGCAGTGAGGCACTGTTTGTGCTTTGTTAGGTAGTTGTAGTAGCAGGAGTAGCTTAGGGTAAAGAGCAGGCAGCTGTAGGCAGCTAATAAACTGATAACATTTCTTGTGTTTGTACTTGTTACTTTTTTGAATGTTGGTAGTGATGGATATTGTTTGTACTTCCTGAAGTGGGCAAATATTTCATTTGTGATCTGTGTTGTGATGCAGCTTACCTTACCTGAAACTTGATTAGCAAAGTCTTTCTCCTTAGAATTTAATGGTGAATAATGTATTACCGATTAGTCACATCTAAATATTGTGATCTGTTTCATTAAGTTAAATGAAGGATTTTTTTTTTAATTTTTTTTTTTTTTAGACATTATTCCATTTGTCAAGATGGAAAGCTCAGATTCTAGTGATAAAGGAAATATTGATCAATCAGAAGCACAACGGCAGAGTCAGCTGGATCGCTTAGATCGAGAAGAGGCTTTCTATCAGTTTGTAAACAACCTGAGTGAAGAGGACTACAGGCTTATGAGAGACAACAATTTGCTAGGAACACCAGGTATGTAATGCTTGTGTATGTCCATCATACAATTACTTGGAGGTGATTTGTCTTTTTCTGTTCTCCCTAATCTCTTTCACCCATTTAGCTCATGTGCTGCAGTTGCGTTCCATGTTAGGGAGTAGCTTCCTGCCAGTTTATGTGTCCTCAGAATAGAGGGGTTCACTGGCTAGTGGAGAGAGAGTTGGGATGGTGTGGATTCAGCAGGTACAAAGATCTGCTGTTCATACCTCTTGATGGGAACTTCCAGAACTGACCCAGTTATGGCTGCTTAGACTACTTTGATAGAAAAGTAATCACCTTTAAGCATGTGTGAAAATTTCCTGTTGGTGTTAGGAGTTCATAACTAGGCTAATTAATCTGGTACAAGATTCTGCATGGGTGTTCTTATGTCTGTTTTCAATTGACTTATTACTTTAAACTGGCTCTTTATAGAGTGATGCCTAATTGAAGCCAGTTATAATTTAAAACTAATTCAAACTTCTTTTCATGCTTGTCATTTTTTTTTTTTTTTTAAACTCTGGGCTGTCATTTAATTGGTATAGGATGAAAAAAAAATATGCTGATGAGCTGTAGAGGTTGCAGTACAGTACCAGAAAGCCCATCCGTCTTTTAATAGGTTGAAGCTGTTAGATCCTTCAGCTTCAGCAAAGCTTATTTGGGACAGTGGTGCTGAAGAGTTTGAATTCCCCTTATAACTAATTGCTTGGAAGTCTCATTATGGCAGGATTTAATTAAAACAAAGACAGTGGCTTGTACCTTCTTTAGAAACTTCTGATAATGTTTGCCATACATATGATTTGGAAATATTTTTGGAAAATTTTGCTTATTTTCTAAGGTGAAATTACTGAAGAAGAGTTGCTGAGAAGGCTGCACCAAGTTAAAGAAGGTCCGCCACAGCAAAACAGTGATGAGAATAGAGGTATATACAGTATTTGTGAAAACTCTTAACTTTAGCACCCCATACGGACCTTAACTTGAGTGCAGGAGTGGAACAAGTTAAGCCTAGGCAGGTGCAAGGTGAGCTTTGCTTCAAAACTAACTGAACGTTATGTCTGATATCTGCTGCAAAGAGCACTTTGGGACAGATTTCACCCGTAACACATCTGTTACTTGCAGCAAGCTAAAATTTCATTTAGGTTTCTTTTCCTTATCTGCTTTTTAGATTGTTTTTCCTTCTTGACTTCTGCTCCCTTCTGGGGTACTTTCTGCCAATTTTTGGTTGTTTTTTTTTGTTCTCGTTCTTCCCTTCCAAGGGTACTCTATTGCTTTTATTATCGCCTCTCAAGAGGTTGGTGGTGGATTCTTGGAGTTTGCTGCCAGGGTTCATTCTTAAACGAGATGGGTTGCTATAAATCTGTTCTTCAAATGAAGACTCAGGACAAACTTACCAAACTCTCTGCTTAGCAGTCACTAGATTGCTCAGTTGTTTGGAAAGAAAAACACAGAATATTGATGTGACACCTGAAATACAGCTCTCCATTTCTTTACAGTGAATAATGTGTTACTTTGATTTGGCTGCCATGTGATGGCTGCAGCCTGTCTGTATGTATTAGAAAAAAGGTCCACTCCTGCTTCCTTACCAGAGCTCTGGTAGATAAGAACTATGATGCTATTTCTGAAGTCACAATTACATTGGATAGAGTCAAGTGCTTCTAGACAATCATGTTTTAAACTATAAGCAATTATTTTCTTGGAAAAGATCACTCCAAAATTAGCTCAGTACTCTAATTTTGGTAGTTCCTTGTCTTTTTTTACAGGTGCAGAGTCCACAGAAGATGTTTCAAATGGAGATTCTATAATAGACTGGCTTAATTCAGTCCGACAGACTGGAAATACAACACGAAGTGGGCAGCGAGGAAACCAATCCTGGAGAGCCGTGAGCCGGACTAACCCAAATAGTGGTGACTTCAGATTCAGTTTGGAAATAAATGTCAACCGTAATAATGGGAACACAAATCCTGAAACTGAGAATGAGCCATCTGTAGAGCCTTCCAGTGGGGAGGATTTGGAAAACAGCCAAAGTGACTCTGAAATTCCAAGGTCTGAATCACCATCTGCAAGGCAGCCTGGATCAGAAAGGAGCACTTCAGAAGAGTTAACTGAAGAAGCTTCTCCTAGAGGGCAGAGGAGAGCGAGAAGTAGGAGCCCAGAACAGCGGAGAACACGGGCTAGGACTGATAGAAGTAGGTCACCTATTAATCCAGTGAGTGAGGCTCCTCGCAGGTCTCATCACAATACATCATCTCAAACGTTTGACCATTCAGCAGTGAATGAAGCTGAGGGAAGCTCTAGAACTAGGCAGCATGTGACACTAAGGCAGCATGCAGTGGGGACTGAGATTCCTAGTGAAAATGCAGTTCTGTTTTCAGCCCCTGAAACAAGACCTGTTCCTCAAGCAGCAGGTTCTTCAGAAACTAATGGTGCCAGTGAGTCTGCAGCTCCTGGACAGAGGCCTCCTACCATAGTGCTCGACCTCCAGGTGAGAAGAGTTCGTCCAGGAGAGTATCGGCAAAGGGACAGCATAGCCAACAGAACTCGGTCCCGCTCCCAGACTCCTAACAACACAGTCACTTACGAAAGTGAACGGGGAGGGTTTAGGCGTACGTTTTCACGTTCAGAACGGGCTGGAGTGAGAACTTATGTCAGCACCATTAGGATTCCTATTCGTAGAATCTTAAATACAGGCTTAAGTGAGACTACGTCAGTTGCAATTCAGACTATGCTAAGGCAGATCATGACAGGCTTTGGAGAGCTGAGTTACTTTATGTATAGTGATAGCGATGCAGATCCTAGTGGCCCAACTCCAAATCAGAATGTGGATGCTTCTGAGCCACAGAACGGAGGGGGTGGTAGTTCAAGCAATGAAAGTACAGATGTTAGCTCAGGGGAGGTGTTTGAAGGTAGTAATGAAGGTGGTTCAACATCTGGTGCCAGACGGGAAGGTCGGAATACGAGAGGATCGGTGACGTTTGAAGAAAGCGGTTCTTTACCATTCCTTAGCCTAGCACAATTTTTCCTACTAAATGAAGATGATGATGACCAACCAAGAGGACTCACCAAAGAGCAAATTGACAACCTAGCTATGAGGAATTTTGGTGAGAGTGATGCTCTGAAAACATGTAGTGTGTGTATTACAGAGTACACGGAAGGAAACAAGCTTCGTAAATTGCCTTGTTCTCACGAGTATCACGTCCACTGCATCGACCGCTGGTTATCAGAAAATTCCACTTGTCCCATTTGTCGCAGAGCAGTCTTAGCTTCTGGTAACAGAGAGAGTGTTGTCTAAATGAGATCTGAACTTATGGCTAAGCAGCTAGTGTAATAGTGATGGGCAAAGAAGTCACTTCCTTTATGGCCACTTTTTGAGTGGTAACTCAATGTATAGTAATTACTTGGAGTGAATCTTCCCTCATGAAAGAATTTTCTCTGAATTCAAGCATTTAAAATTGGAAAAATTGATTAAGGTTTTCAAGATCTAGTCGGTTTGTGTGATGAATTTCATTTGTCCAAAGACATCTACTCACTTAAAAATACTTCTTTATGAAGAGTGCTAAGTTCTATCCCCTTACTCCTCCAGTCCAATAAAAAGTTTTTCCTCAACATTGTGCTTGTGAGTAGTCTTTCTGGGAAGTCATCCCAGCTAAATGCGCAAGAGTCATAGAGGAATTTTTGCAAGAAATCCAACTGACTGAAAAAAAAAAAAAAACCCTGAATTTAATTGCATACTTGAAAATACTTTTGATTTTCATACTGGGTTAATATTGGACATGTCTGTGTAAATAACACTAATGTTAGCCCTTTCCCCATCACTATGGCACGCTGTAGGATGAGCTGTTAGCTTAATTGGGATATTTATCTTGTTGTGGAAATATAAGAATTGCCTATGCTTGTTTAAATAAAAAAAAAAAAATCTGTTTTAAAATTGTAAAGCTTTTTTGTAGAAGCTCAGTACTTTTCCAATGCACTGTTGTATTAATGCATTAAGAATTAAAATTGTACCACGCTTAGAAACTGAGAATGCTTTTCATACAAAACCCACCACAGAGAGAGCAAACTAAATACAAGAGAGCTGCTTTTGTGACTGTGTACCTGTCAGGAGCAGTGCATATCTGTGCTATTGATGTGAACAACTACTGTGACGTACAAGTGAATTGGACACTTAATTGCCTTTAAAAAATTGAAGCAGAATGTTTATAGCTGCAGTGTGTTGGCTCAGTAATGCCACCCAAAAAGATGATAATAATTAGTAACTGTCCTAACAGTTCCTTTGTGTGGTTACTAATATGTAATAACACAAACCAATGTGCACCAGTTCATTTGGTGACATGTATGCCCTATTTTTGTATTTTTACTTGAAATTTGGAGGTAACCCTATGTAATTCTTCAGCAGACATATACTGGCAGTTTGGGATTTTTTTTCCCCGCTCCAGCTTCAACAATATTAGTAATTGCTGGATCTGTTTAGTGAACATGCTGATGGGTATCCACTGTTCATAGCCTGTGACTCAGTGCTGCAAAGAAATAAGTATTAACTGGAAAAGAGATTCATTAGTAGAGTGCTAGATTAAATATGAAAACTATAACTGATTGCAGGAGTATATTTAATGTTAATCTTAACATTGGCTACGTTTTGAGAAAACATCTTTATACTCCTATTGAAAAGACTGAAATCTTGAATTCAAAAATATGTATGTGGCATATAGAAATAGGGAATTGGAAAATGTATTGCTACCTGGATGTGGTGGCCCTGCAAGAGCAGGAATCAGACCAGCTGGACTCAAAGGTCCTACCCAGTCTGGGATTCTGTACCTCAGCTAGCATTGTGTCAGGGGGAAGTATCTCTCCTCTTCAATGAGCCATCTTTGTTTTATTCTCTAGTGACTTTTTTTTTCTAGCCTGTATCTGCAACAAAGAAAACAGTGTATTTTTAATCTTCAGAGTAGTAGTTCAAAAGGGATATGAACTGCTCTTGGTGGCTATATGGGAAATACTGCTTGCTCCTCAGATGACGAAACCAAAGCTGGCCTACCTTTTTTCCCTGATTAAAACACATTTTTGGTGTGTTATAGTGGTGGTTGCATAAAATATAGTCTCTGCTCTAAGCCATTTTAATGTCTCATCAGCTAGTTAAGGATTTCACAGCATCCCAGGATTCCAAATTTTTTTTGTATGTGCATTTTGTGGTGTTTGGCTTAGTGGGAAACCCTGACAGGCTATTGAGCTTGCTTTCCTCCTGTTGGGACATCATCTTGGCAGAGGGAATACACATGTGGTGTCTTTTTTTTCTTTTTTTTTTTTAACAGAATAAATAAGCTCATTCTCTTACTGTTTTTCCCTCTGATATGCATCTCTGTAAAATTGGAAGTTAAATATTAATTTCAGGTGCTGACTCTTAATGAATGTGGGTAATACATTTGATGCCAAATCTTCCTCAACAAAATAACACTTCTGATTTTCTTCCGGTAGCATTCACATAGCAAAAATGTGCTATCAGTTGTGGTTGCCAGTAGCTTTATTGTCTTACTGGAGTCTGGAATTAGATGGGGAAAAAATGCTTCTACGCACGAATGCCATTTTGATTTTTCCAAATCTGGCATTTATTTCTGAGGTTAAGGATGGTGACCAGAAAGAAAGGAGCCCACTAGAGCTAATTAAGGCGAAGCACAGCTGTGATGCGTGTCATTCAACGTAGCTTTCTTTTTAGTGTTCTGAGTTTCCAGTAACTGTATACTTTGGAAGACTCAACTCTACAGTTTTGTTATAGCTTAATAGTGGCATGCCTTAACATTTTATCTTTCTGTAACAATAGCAACTAATAAAATGTTGGAGGTTTCCCAAATGGTACCACGAACAAATAATTTATCGTAGGATGGCTTGGATTGGAAGAGACCGTAGAGATCATCCAGTCCCAACTCCCCTGCCGTGGGCTGGTTGCCCCTCACCAGCTCAGGCTGCTGGGGCTCCATCCAGCCTTGCCAGGCATGGTGCACCTGTAGCTCTGGGCAGTTTGTGCCAGCATCTCGCCGTTTTCTTAGTAAAGAATTTCCTCCAACATCTGATTTAAATCATCCCCTCTGGTCCTGAGAATTTAACCTCAATTAAGAAGCCCTTGAACTGTAATGTTTTATTTGCCTTTTCTGATCCCGAGCGCACTAGCAGTGCTGGGGACATGTTGCCCAACACCTGGAAGAGTCGGCAAGAGGGCAATTGCTGATACAGCAAATAGCTCCATGTTACTGACTTATCTGTCAGAGTCTGCAGCAGTTCTGGGGAAGAGTAGCATCCCCACTACTCAGAGCTGTATCTGGAAGCTCGGTGTTCACAAATGCCTTTATGCTGTACTGGAAACACCGTGTGTTCTGCATCACAGTCGTAGAGCTGAGGTCTGGCAAGAGAAGTTCCAGAGTGCTGCTTTTTACCCTAATGCCCTGAGGTAATTTAATTTCTCTACTTCTAAAGTTGTATTGCAGATAGGAAAAGTCAATATTTACATTTCAGTCGCTAATAAAGCATCAATTGCTATAATTTAAAAGGTTCATAATTAGCCTATTTTACAGCTTCAAAGTTATTTTAGCATTGGGCGTTTGTACCCATTGCTTCCCTCTTTCTTGGCTTTGCAGATGGAATGCAGCAACTTGCCTCATAGTTACAGCCATATGAAGGGCTGAAATGGCCAATTTGATGACTTTCAGATGTCTGAAAGAAACAGGAGCAGAGGCAGCCCCGCTGCATCAGCTGCCTGCTTCCTAGTGCCACCTTGTGGGAGCCTCTCAGCCTTCTGCGGGGCCGTGATAAAGCCAGCTCGTCGCTTGCAGCAGCATGGTTGCTTTTGTGTTGAAGGCTTTTGCTTAATTTTGGAAGGGGATTCGCTTTTGTCGCCTGCCTCGGTAGTTACGGTGGTGTTTCCAAGCAGTGAACCGCCCGTGCTGCAGTTGTGAGTACCTGGCTGGCTGGTGGGTGAGCTAAGTTCCTTTCTTCGGAGACAGCTCTGTGTCTGTAGGACCTCCACACGCAGCTGTGAAAGCAGTCACAAAGCCAAAGCCTACAAGAACGCATGGCACTGTTCAATTTCAGGGTGATTCGATAGATTAGCTTAAATTGCAAACCGATAAGGAGTTGTGGGTGCTTTCCTTTTCCCTTTAAATCAGGTCGTTATCCATTCAAAAACTAAGGACTCGTTCCTGGTGTTTGTTAGATTTCCCTTTTACGTGTCTGCTTTTTTATTACCTACAAGAGGTTCGGATTTTTTTTGTTGCAAAGAACTTGTAGGCAGCTAATTGACTTGTTTTAAACATGGTTTCATTACTGTAGCAACAGCATGTGTAGAAATTACTCGTTAAATGTTTAAAGACTTTTAGTAGGAAGTATTAATGTGCGTGCACAGCAGCTGCACTAACGTGATACTCTACCAGTTTTGAAGGAGCCATAATTGTCCATTGTGTCAACTTGCAAACTAATGTATTTCCCACTAATGTTGACACAATGGACCGTAATGACTGTCATTCCAGTTTCCTGTCAGTTAGCTGGATTATGCAAATATGTCGGGCCAGAGGACTGTTTCCCTGTCTAATTGCAGTGGATGTTTATCTTGTGATGGTTGTCCACACAATGGGGAGGGTTCCGCATGGTGTCTAATCAGAGAATCTAGCTGGAAGATGAGAGAAGGGCTGGCAGGGCTGACCATGTCTGTGAAGAGTAGCAGCTCGATGTTTTCTGAGTCTCCCAGCGTCGCCTTCGCTGTCACACCACAACACAGAGGTCCATCCAGTTGGCTTGAGCTGCAGCCTTACCTTTGGTTTGAGATCCCTTCTCTTACAGTAGTGTGTATGTTCATGCTGCCCGATGTCTCATTTTTCTCACCGTCCTCCTGCGGGGCCTTGGGTTGCACGATGAGGAGATGTAATGGTGTTTGGAGCTGATGAGGAGCGCAGTTGTTACGGGCATCTGCCCGCTCGCTTTGGGTGAGAGTTGGCTCGGAGCCACGATAAGTGAATTTATAACAAATTCAGAAGTGTTTCCAATCACTGCATGCACCAGGCTGTTTGTTTGCTCTTGACTAGAGAGGGAAGAAAGAGGGTGAAGATTAATGATAGCTTACCCAAAGTACATTAAAGTTGTGTTGTGTTAAAAAAGAAAATAAATTTGCATCTGTTAAACCAGGGCTTCCCAACTTCTTTTTGAGGTATCCTTTTTTTTTTTTTCCTCTTCTTTTTTTTTCCTCTTACAGGGAAGCATAATTTTGGATTTCTTTTGGTTATTTTATGTGGTTTTGATCCTTTAGCTGAAATACCTGCGCTCCCTTCCTGAATCTCACTCTGCTGTAAAGCTGTTGGCTGGGAAGCCCTGAATTCAACTGAGAATGTAAGAGATTTTTTTTTTTCTTTTTTTCCTTTTTTTCTTTTCTTTTTTTTGGTTTTGTTTTGTACAGTGCTTTACATCTGTTTATACTGGACTTGTTTAGTACAAAATGGTACTCCGAGGTCATCGGACAACAGTTCGATCAGGTTTGATAGCTAATATTTAGGAGGAGTTTGTTCCCTATGTAAGATGTCATAATGCAAATTTAAATAGACTCAATAAAATGCATGAAGTGATAATTTTGTGCTTGATCATCACTCCTTGGGTTTATTCTTACACTGGGAATGTGCCGGAGTAAATACTGATGGATGTGGTAAAAAATGTATGTGCTTTTCCCTTGAAGCTGAAAAGACCTGGAATGGTACAGAGTTAAGTTCTCAGAAGAGTTTATTGCTCCTCAGTACAGAAACCAGAAGCAATAAATCTATGTACCAGACTTGTGTAAATCTGTCAGTGCACAGCATGGGGCACCAGAGCTGTCAGTTATCTTTCAGGCGGTAGCCGTGACTTTTATGGGTGCCCATCAGGGACCAGCGCTTAGTGCTGAGTCCCACTGGAAATACACCGAACACCTCACGGTGTTTGTGGCTTTCATAAGCTCTCACATATGGCTAAAAGCTTCGCCCTAAATTTAGTAGCTGATGTATGTGCAAATGCTTACTTGAGTGGGAAGGAAATTTTGTAGGGTGTGGGAAGCTTGGAAGCTTGCTTTATTGCCGGTGCTTCCCTCACCTCAGTCTGGTCCTTGAGAAGGAAGCCAGAGCTGTTTCTGGGCTGAGGCCTGATGGCATCGCAGCAGAAGGCGGGGAAAGATGGCAGTGTTTGGATGCAGACACGCGGTGCCCTGTCTGTTGGGTGCCATCCAAGCTGGCAGCAGTTTCACGATGCTTGGCAGCGCTGTGTGGGATGGTCTGGCTGTGGAGAGGAGGAAGGTTGGTGGGCTTCCCAAGAGATGTGCAGAGCAGAGATTCTGCTCAGGATTCTTCAGTATGAGCTGTTCCCAGCTGCCAGGGGCTGCATCTGGAGCTCTGTGGTCTGTCTGCTCTGACTGATTCAAACTGAAATTGGAGAGGGCCCTGCAGCCTGTTCGCTGACAGGAATTCTGTTTGGCAGTGCAGAGGCGGGGAGGAAAGCGGAGCTCTTTGCTGCAAGCTCGTCCTTCCCAACTGCTGTGTGTCAGGACCTGTTTGGGGGCTTTTAACATAATGAATCTAAACTCAGCTGCGTTGTGGCTTCCTAAGCCCTAACAATAAAATTATATGGGGAAAACTAAGCCCTCTTTTTAGTCTTAAATGAGATGATATTGTCTTTGACACTAATGAGATGCTGATGCTGCATGCTCCAACTGTTCTCCTGAATAAATCCCCTGCTGAGCCAAGCATGTGAAAAAGCAGGCATCGAGCCTCCGTGACAATGACCGCTTCATGGAACAGAGTCAGGCTGCACTGTTTGCGTAGGGTTTCTGTGTTTTCACACATTGTCATGCGCTGCTGTCAGGTCCGGAGCTCCCAAGAAAAACAGCTTGTGCAGTGCACAGTCTGTGTGGTAGCATCGAGGTGTTGCTTGGCGTGCTGCAGTGTGACAGCAGTGAGTGGAGCTGTGACTGCAGTGAGTGTCCCTGCTGTGATGGGGCCACACTGCCATCCAGGTGGACATTGAAAGGCTGCTGACGGCTAATGGTGTTCTGGGATGTGTTAGTAATGCCAGGAGGTCAAGGGAGGTGGTCCTGCCCGTCTGCTCAGCACCGGTGAGGCCAACACCTGGAGTGCTGGGTCCAGTTCTGGGCTGCGCAGTGCAAGAGAGACCTGGATGTACTGGAAAGAGTCCAACAGAGGGCCACCAACGTGATGAAGGGCCTAGAGTACCTCTCTGGTGAGAAGAGGCTGAGGAAGATTGGGCTGCTCAGCCTGGAGGATGCTTGGATATCCCATTCATGGCCATGATAGCTGAAGGGAGGTGCAAAGAGGTGGAGCCAGGCTCCTGTCAGTGGTGCCCATTACCAGTACGAGAGGCAATGGGTACAAACTGGAGTGCAGAAGATTGTATCTAAAATTTGATAAGCACTTCTGTGCTGTGTAGGTGATGGAGCCCTGGCACAGGGTGCCCAGAGAGGTTGTGGTGTTTCCTTCAAAGCTTCTGGACATAGTTCTGGGTACCCTGCTCTGTATGGCACCAGATGGACCCAGAGGTCCCTTCCAGCGTCAGCCAGTCATAGGTTAACCAACATATGCTATTGTGTGAGTGGGTGAAATGAAAGCAGATGTGCAGTGGAAAACTTATATAAATTAATCTCTGTAGGCATTGCTGACTTCTATATAAACCAGATTCACTTGGAAACAATGCTGGTGGTGCCTTGGGGATGAGTTTGCTTCAGTTTGTAATGATGAGAGCTAGCGGGGATGGAGGACAGAGGAAGAGATGGGAAAGACGGATGAGCACAAAGCAGGGAGGCTAAGGAAGGGAATAGCAGGATGCGAACAGGCAGGAGGAGGGCTGGCATGAAGGCTGGCAGCCCAGAAGGTAATGGGACAGTGCCATCTGAGGCGGTGTGCGGTGCGGGGACAGGAATATCCGAGTGATTTATTTCCAGTGGGCTTCAGCAGGAGGGCTGGGAAAAGACTTCCAAGCTGCACTGAGCACGGCTGGTGAAAACATCAATGTGGGAGGGAGAAGGCAGCGGGGCCAAGCATGCTGGGGGGACGAGGTGCCGGCCACGTACGCCGGGGCTGAACAATGCTGCAGATGGGCCGATAACGGATTTACAGCCCAACAGCACAGCGCCTCGGAGGAAGAGGTGACAGTCACAATAGCTGGAGCCCTGCTCACCCAGCACACACCAGCACACCAAAACAGCCCCATATAGCACTCATATATGTATGCATACCTACTTTTTTCATCCCTTGTTCTGCCTTGCTGCCAGCACAAAATGATTTCTAACATTGCCTTCTGCTGCTCTGCATTAAAGCCTCTAAAACCCAAGCAGGCACTGCTGCTCCTGCTGTCCCATCACAGGGCGATGCCCCATTGACCAGTGGCAGGCACTCAGCAACCCCGAACAGCACAGTCCACACTGTGTGCATACCTGTAAACGTGACCAGAGATAGATAACGCGCCGTTCACAGAGGCAGCTAAAGCACATGTGCAATTCATAGCTACTAGCAAACTAACACAAGACAAAGTGCTTAGTATTTAATATATAAAATACACATACAAATATTCCGTTTCATAAGAATAAATGGTTCCCAGCAGGCAGGCGCACAGACACACCTAGGATATGTGTGTGTATATATATATATATATATGTATGTATATACATATTATCTATTTGTGTATTTGTATGGGGCTTGTGGAGGTGGGCAATGACAGGCTTGTGCTCCTGGGGTGCTCAGCAAGCAGCCTGTGTGCAGGTGACTTTTATCACGTAGCCCAGCACCTCTCAGCTTCCAGCCATCCCCAGAAGATCACTCCAGGATAGAGGAGGGTGTTTTTGCACCGAGGCTCCTTGCATGGCATGCTGGCTCATAGAGGAGCTCGTTGCCGCTGCCTCGCAGCCTTTGAATCCCTTTTTACTGCCTCTTATCTCCTGCTGGGGATTTTTTGAATATTATTTGCAGTAAATATCCCTGACTTGAAAAAGAGTTGAGATGCACATTAAAAGAGAAGAAAAAAAGCCTGTGCCATACCAAATTAATGCCTATGTCAGCTTTCATCTAATGTCAATTAAAGCAGCTAGTATAAACAAATCATTACGATAAAATACCCTTGCTAAAAGCCCTGTTTCCAGTTCCACAAGCTATGGCGACCTCGCTGATGCACAGTCACCCTTTTCTGGCCCGGTGCTCTGACACAGCTTTGGGTACCCAGCTGAGATTTCTTTAGGAAACCACGACCCCCCTTCCTTTTTAAACTGGTTTTATTCTATGCTTTTTTTTTAAAAAAAAAAAAAAAAACATTCATAAAACATTCATTACAAAAGAAGTGCTAATATGGGATGGTTTTGTGTTTTGCTTTTTGTTTGTTTTTTTTTTTTTACTTTTTTTTTATATATCAACAATCAGAAATTCACATTTTGAAAGGACGGGTCATACTTTTCAGACACACATTCAAATACTTTACTTTGAGATACAAAATTTTAAGGGAATATAAATCACTTACAAAGAACAGATGTCAAAAAAAAAAAAAAGAAAAAAGAAAAAGGAAAATTGTAAGAGTTCAGTTTTACCAATTTCTTCACCTGCATCTTACAAGCTCCTATGAGGCCAGTTCTGCAAGGTGCAGCTCTTCCACCCTTCCCAGCTGTGCCTTAAATACTCATTTGAAGCCAAAGCATGACCCAAAGCATTGCTATGGGCCTGACTTCTGCAATGAATTAAGCACCTGCTCTCAGCCACAGCCCCTAATGTCTTGTTAATTACCCCAAAATTCAAGCCTCCGCCTTGGTGCCCGTATGTGGCTTCAGCTCAGACATCTTCCCCTTTGAACACAAATGTTTGGCTACCTGAAAACTTCCTCTGGGAAACAGACCATCTTACATGCCATGCCTCACTACATACACAAAAAACAACAACAAAAGCTTAATTCCTTAGCAAAACAGACACTAACTTCTCACAGTGTGCCTCGCAACACGCTGCTCTTGGCAGCCAGAGCTGGAAGGTCAGCGAGGAAGAGGTTTGAGGACAGATGTCACAGAAGGAGATTTTGGGACGGAAGAGGCACTCAGGAGTTGCACGGACTCTCTTGAGGTGGCCTGTGCCCTGCAGGGGTGATGAAGGTGGGACAGAGCAGCTCACTGTCTCCGTTCAGAGAGGCCTAATGGGAGCCGCCTGCTGCCCACGCTCAGAGGTGATTTGTTTTGCAGGCCCTGATTTCGATGCTGTAAACAAAGTCAGGAGCCACATTGCTTTTAGTCCAGACATCAAGCCCACATCCTGCAGGTCACCAAAATGTCCACCGGGGCAAGTGGACACAGCACTGGGGTTGGGCTTTGCCCTTGTGGGGTGGGTGAGAATGGGGGTATCCAGAGCAAGGCAAGTCCTCGATGTAGTGCTAAGGGCATTGCAATGTTTGCAGACAAAACAAAATTAAACAAAACAAAACAAAAAAAAAGTTGTGTAGGGGGAGCCAGCAAAAGCACGGCGATAACCCTAGAGCAAAGTCCATTGTGCATCCCTGCAAAAACACAGGCGATGCCTCTGCATGAGGGAGCACGCCAGGCACTAGCAGCCCTTGCTGCGTACATGGTGCTAAAGGGCAGCTGGCTTTGGGAAGAAAGTATCCAAAAGAGTTGGCAAGTGTTTTGGGGCTTTCCAGTGCAGCCCCATTTTCTCCAGCCAGCTGGACAAGAAGAAGCGAACTAAGTCAGCGTGAAAGCTCTGGAAGCTGAAATATCCAAGGTAACCCCCAAACAAACCTCTGTTGGGTACAGATGCACAAGAAAGCCATGGAAGTAGTGAGAAGCAAAGGCTGGAGAAATCCTGGCTCCACTGTGACCAATCACAGCCCAGACAGGGGTTGCCTGAAGTCTCATGAGATGCCACAGGAGCATCATTCTCTGCCAGAGCAAGAGGGGTTAAATCTGGCATTTCACCCAGCCATGAAAATAAGGAAAAAAAAAAAAAGAAGAAGAAAAAAAAAAGACAACAACTCACTTTGGAACACCCTGAAGCTAAAGATTTAGGAAGGCAGTACCAGCCAGTGCTGCCGGGGCACGTCCTGCACTAGATGCACGCTTGCATAAGGCCATGTGGCTGCCTGAAGCAACGAGTGCACCTCACTGGGGGAAGCTGGGGCTTTTCATTACAGAGGAGCACAAGACAGGTTTTTCTCCCTAGTCCTGCCTCACCTGCCCAGAGGAGGCTGGGGTGTACAGGGCCAGGACACTCAAGAGAAAAGCTAGATGCACAACAGCTGGCAGCCAACATCAAAACTATCCCCATTGTGCACATCTTCCTACCATCATGGCAGATTTTGCTCTTCCAATTGTGCATGCAGACTGTACCTTTCATTGCCTTTCCTGCCTTGACCGATGGCTTGTTTTGACTTCATGTTCATCAAAGTCATGACCCTAACTGGACAAAGATGCTCACAGCAGGTTGGGGAGGCTGTTGACAGTTTTTGAGCTAGGATGGTATGAGATGTACCGCTTCCACTGAAGTTGGGCAGAGTGAGGAGACACGGGGCTAAGCACCTTCAATATTAAGAGGCTCCGATAATAAGCAGATAAAAAGACCAACCTTTCAGGGATGCTGAGTCAGGCAGGACTTCCATCTGATCAAGCTCTGCTCCCATGCCAGTGCAGCATTGAGCTCCCATGGAAAGGCCTTTATGAGCAGGCAAAGCACTTAAGGCATGTGGAAATCTGCAAAGATTTCAGAGTTTGAGGCAGCACCCCTTCTCCTATTGCTGGGCAAAAGGAGACGCTACTACCATTTAAATCCATCATGAGCCTGCCTCATGGGGCACTATGGTCAGAATAAGGATTTTGTGGCAGATGACACCCTGCAGAAAGGCAGAAGCAGACTTAGAAAAGCCAAAGGATAGGAAGTGGAACAGACGCCTTGCTTACAGGAACAGACACATCATTACACACCAGTATATTCTTCAGCTTGTACAAGAACAAAAGGAACAGAAGCACAGACCACGAGACCTTACAATGCAGTAGCCAATGCGAATTAAAAAACAAAAGGGCCAGAGGGACATGCAGGATGCAGAGCTATTTACAAGGCTCCTGTTTCTAACAGCAGGGAGGAAAATCCAATGGATGACAGTTCCACAGGCAGGATGGAAGCCACCTTCAGTCCTTGCCCTCTCCTGAGCTATTCCTGATTCCCATGCCTCCTGCATCCATCCTACCTGTGGGTTTCACTGCTCAGGGCTTCACAGTCTTCAGGCACCAAACATGTAAGTGAGAGGTGCCCAGAAATTTGCCTGTCTCCCCCTATGTTTTTAAGGTAGATTTTGCAGGATACTTTCATCAACCCCATGAGTAAATGCAGTAAAAGTAAAGTAAAAGGAGAGAAACAGCTCAAAGCAGGTCCCGCTGCCCATTCCTCCTCCAAAGCTGCTTCCCCTGTGGAAGGGACTGTGCTGCCCGGACATGGCACACCGGAGGGGACAGGGCATCTGGAAGGGACAACAAGCTCCGCCTATGACCTCCTTTAAAAGCACATTTATTATCTGTAAACCTCTGTTGTGACATTTAGAAAACTGGGGAGATAATCAAGTTTGAATCCTGATGAGAATTCTCCTTAGAAAAATGGTTAGAGGAAAAAAAAGGCGGCTTGAAAATTGAAACTGTCCCAAGAAGAAGTGTTTCTGCTAGTTAAAAAGCCTTCAACTAGAAGAACTATTTCTTGTCCTTTACAAATGTAGTGCATCTGAAATCATTGAGAATTACAGTCTGGCTAGAAAAGGGCCTGTGCTTGGGCTGTGGAGGATGCTGGTGGCAACTGTGCACTTGGCACATCACATATGTGCTTCGGAGGCAGGGCAGCCCGGCAGCAGCTCTCCATTCACCACTGCCTCAGGGGTCAGCATCTTGTCCTTGCCAGAATCCAGGCGCTGCTTCTGCAGCATCCTCTGGTGCACCAGCGGGACGACGGAGAGCACCAAGCTACCGATGATGGGAGGCACTCCGGCGAAGTAAAAACCCGCATGGTAATTCTGAAAATAATCGTTGAAGTATCCTGGAAGAGAAGAGCAATGGTGGTTATCCTGCTTATTTAACCAGGACGGGAGAAAAATCAGACACATGCCAAACAGTCTCCAGTGCAAGTTGAGTAAGCACCCTCCAAAAATAACACATTGCCATTTATCGGCTCTGGAAAATCCTTCTGATGCAGGATGCTCTGTACAGCCCACATTACACTTCCCTAATTCTAGGAATTCCCTTCTGGCAACGAATCATGCCCAGGCAATTTTTAGTTCAGATTCCAACTGCAATCAGTTCATGTGGTCATTTTGTTCTTGTGTCCCTTTCTCTGTCCCCTGCTTTCCTTGGCATGGAGAAAAGCACAGAGATACTGCACGCAAACCCCACAAAACACAATGAGCCAGAAAGTCCAAAAGCTCCCATGCCAAAACGCCACCCTCAGTGACAGCAGCCATAAGCATCTGCTCCTTCCCAAGAGCAGGATCCAGGTGCAGTACCACAGTGTCACCAACCTGCAATTGGCGTGCCTGCAGTCATGGGCACAGCCATCAGCCCCATCAGGTACCCTATGGCCTGGGATGCTTGCATGGGCCCCACCAGCTCAAAGGCAATGGGGGCCATAATGGTGGTGAAGCAGCCATCGCAAAGGCCGAGGAAGAGGCAGATGACGATGACGCCCTCAAACCCTCGGCACTGTGGGATCATCATGCACATGATGCCAAACAGAACAAAGGACGCAACCTGGGGAGACAAAAGCAGGCATGTCGTTGGGGAGAGGCAGCAGGAAGCCATTCTGCTCCATCCCTCTGGTCACTTGAGGGTATCTCTGCTGGGCAGGAATGGGGAGGTCCCCAAGCATGGAGCACCAAGAGAAGCAAGTCACGGGCTCCATGTTTTCTTAGCTTTGCAGACATGATGAGGACCAGCAAAGCCAGAGTCATCTGATCACGCAAGCAATGCTACAAGGCCCAGGGACAGAATATCCAAATGTCCCACTGGAAGGAGCGACAAGCTGTTGGCAAGGAATATGGGCCAACCAAGAGCAGCCAAGTAGAGCAGGCACCATGATTACCTGCAGGTAAATCTTCTTCAGCCCAGGTATGCAGTCCCCAATGCGACCCGAAATCAAGCGCCCCAGCCCAGACATGCCTCCAAGACAGACTGGGAGAATCCAGTCTTTTTTGGTTTCTTTAAATTCCTTCTCCACATATTTCACCTAGGATGGAGGGAAGGACATAAGGACATGAATTCACAATTAATTCACTTCAGCAGCGAGCTCCCAGATTTGGAGGTGGTTGTGTGATACCCATGTTTACACTACATTGTCACACCACCTCCACCCACCCCACACCCTGCAGCCCACCACTGATGCTCATCCCCAAAGCAGAGAACATGTGGGAGCATTACTGACTGCTTTTCCCCACCTCTGGTGCCATTCACAGGGCAGTTTCTTAGTTTTGAAGCTTTTGATGGCTCAGTCCCTGCCGTTTCCCTCCTCCAGCCCACTTTTGCCTTTTCATCTCCACCCCTAGCCAAGGCTCTTACCAGGTGCATGTATGGTACAAAATACCCCAGGACAGCTGTAGCAATCCCAAAGGCCCAAATTCGATAGGTCTTTCTCCGGAAAACCCTCAAGTTGAAATACTTGCGCATCTGGGCCCAGCACTGCTGCCGCACACTCCGGCTGCCCAGTTTGTCCTGCCCATCGTGCTGAGAGTCACAGGAGGGTGGCAGGAGGGGCCGATAAGTCAGCGACAAGAAGATCTGGATGAGCATTAAGGCACTGAGCACTTGGAATGTGTGCGCCAGCCCGATGGCCTTTCCCACCATCTTCAGGAAGAAGGGCAGCGGCACAGAGATGAGGCAGCTGCTGCCGGCCACGATGCCATTGGCCAGGCCAAGGCGACGCTTGAAGTAGTGACCAAGGATGACCAGCGAGGGCTGAAAGGCAAAGGAGCTGCCACAGCCAAAGAGGATGCCATATGTGAAATAGCGAACTTCCAGAGACCTGGTGAGGAGAAGACATTGAGATGGTCACAATATGCCTGGTCTAGCATTAAATGGGGAGGTTGGGGGCCCTGCATGTGGCAGGGGGGTTGGAGATTCATGATCCTTGAAGTCCCTTCCAGCCCTGGCCATTCTGTGATTCTGTGATTCTGTGATGTGGAGGCAAGGAAGCTGTTTCACCTGCTGCCCTGCAAACCCTTGTGTTGAGCCTAAGGGCAAGCATACCCTGCATAGTAAGCCTGGCCTCGAGGAGCTTATTCCCCAGCCAAGGCAGGGATTATCCTCAATCCACAGCTGGCATGTTAAACCTCCAGGAAAATGAAGACTGTCTGGAGAGTGCTTTCAGCAAGGAGGAGGAGGCGGCACCAACCTGCGTGCCTTGGGAAGCAGGCTTGAGTGAGTGGTTTTTAAATACTGAGAGCAGTTTTCTAAGGTAGGCAAAGAGTGTTATTTTTAGTTACAAGTCTTTTTTTTTTTTTTTTTCCCTTCTTTCTTTCCACTGAAACAACTAATTGAAAACACTCTGCACCCAGTGTTTCAAAGCAGAAGGCACCAACCTCAGTTATTAGGCACTTAGGGAGAGAACATCACTTTTCTGCCCAGGCTCCAGGCTCCTTAATTATGTTCTCCTTCTTTAAGCTCCTCTGGGAGCTTAAATTAGATAGTTAATAGATCTCATTTGTACCTTACAGAGGTGTCTGTGCTCAAGCAGGGAGCGATGTGGCTGCCCTACAGAACAGCAGGAAGCCTTTGGAAGGAGTTTCTTCCCAAGGTCAGCCCGGTTTTCCCAATGAAACCCAGCTCCTTCCTTAGCTGAAGTAAAAGAGTGCATAACACCCTTCTGTTCACTCCAGATGGAGTATTATTTCATCCCTGTGTAACACATTCACTTGCAAAAGTCTGCCACAAAATGCTGCATTGGAAGAGACTGCAATAGAAAGGTCTGGGCAAGCAATGCTGCACCAAAGGGGTCTTCTCTCCAACACTCAGAACTGCTCATGTGAAATACTGAGTACTGCTCACAGAACAGACAAAAAGCAGACCAGATCTAACAGAGCAGTTCAAAACTGAGCAAATGTTTACAAGCACATCATTTCTTCCATGACAAGCTCTTCTCTTTAGCAAGCCAAGTGGGACAGGGAACATGAAAGCTGTGCCCAGGGGCTACAAGACAAACTGCTGTCTTGAAAGGCAATTTTCAGCTACCTCAGGGCAACTCCACATCAGAAACACATCCTGGAGTCAGTAGGCAGCAGGATAGTTCTGACCGCACACTCACCAGCCCTGGCCACCTCAGCTGGGTTTTACCAGCTTTGGTGCCACAGCTAAGCTGATATGTGGGGATAAAGGGAGACAAATGTCTCTGTTCCCATCTGCTCACCATCAATGCTAAGACATCCTTGTGGGACAGCACCAAAGCTAGGGCTCCTTCCAGCCTCACTGCTTAGCCAGGATTTGCCACCCTGCTGGCTGGGAAGCAACCGGCTGCTCCCCTACAGGAACAGCAGTATAATCTCCCTGGTAGAAGCGGCTCTCCCATGAAGAATGAGGACCTCCCACAAATAATGAGTCTCCTTGGAAGAGGAGGTATTTCAGAAGTCCACATCCTCCTGGAACATGGAGCTCTCCCATGATAACAAAGTCCCTGTGGGTAAGATCTCCTGTGGGTCAGGACAAGGAAGCCTCCAAAGAATAACAAGGTCCCAGTGGGTAACGAGGTGCCCATAGGTAACAAGCTGTACTGGGAGGAGGAAGTGCCTCTCCAGTGGCTGCCCTTCACTGATGCTTCCCAGGGGAAGAGCCCTGGCTCAGCCCTGCTGACAGAGCTTCAGAGGTAGAAAATGCAGAGGAGAGGGAGAAGCAGAAGGGATGGAATTCAAAGCTCAGCTCTATAACACAACAAAAAATGCAGCAGTAATAGCAAGGTCCTAGGTGTAGCAAGTGGAGGTTTGCTCAAATACAACAGCCAAGGGCACAGAAAGAAATGAAAGATACTTGCCTTCAGAAGGCCTCAAGTATGCAGGAAGCTCCAACAAGATACCTTTGCCTCCACTGCTAACCCTTAAATGAGGTTTGGGAAGTGGTGGATCCTGACTCCTCCCCTTTTGGTCATTCAGGTACATTGCATGCCTCTGAGCTCCCCTGGGTTGGCCCTGCTTTCCCACCAGGTTCTCCACCATTGTTTCAAGATGTGACTTAGCAATTCCAATACAACCACAAGATACCTCACACAGCAAGATTTCTCTCTTCCTAAGGTATGGTGGTTGATATGAACCCAGCCCTTTGTGCCAAATCCAATGACAGAGGCATCCCCAGCCCCATGACCCTGAGAGTCCCCACTTTCCAGGGAGATGTCCCTGTTACCCTACCCCTCTGCATGGTGACAGGGACTCCAGGCAACCACAGATGCAGGGGGTCACGGTTTCCAACAAGGCACCCCAGGGTGGGAGCACAGAGCCAGGCACGCCCTCTATGAAACCAGCAAGTTTTTGCTTGAAAAACCACTTCTTGCAGCATTCTAATTAAAACAATATTGATTGGAACTGAAACCCAACCCACAGCAAAATTTTTATTCAGACAAACTGAGGCAAATGACACTCTGGAGGATGTCTCTGCAGCGCCTTTGAGCTGTGAGTAAAGGACACTGGGGGCGACCTCTTTTTGCTCTCACTGAGACGGAAATGCACTGGGTTGGAAAGCCTATCACATCACATTGGGTAGAGCTGCCATCAAAACGCACATTAAAGAGCACCTGCCTGGGGAAACGTGCAGCAAGCCCCACGCTTGAGTAAAGCTCATGCTTGTTAAGGACAAAACTGCAGCTTGGAGAGGAATATGGGCTGTAGTGATGCCAGGAGAGCACTCATCCAGGCTGAACACCCCCATCTGCCCCAGACTTTTATCCTTACTTGGTGAAGGAGCTGGAGAGGAGCCCGATGAAGGCGATGGCAGCTCCCAAGGCTGCTGTGGTCCTGCAGCCGATGCGGTCAGTGAAGATGCTCACAATGGGAGAGCAGAAGAAAATCATGCCCATGGCCAAGGAGCCAACCCACGCTAAGGAGAGAGAATGAAGAAAGGTCAGGGCTATGATTGAATTGAATGGGGTTAGGACACTGAACCAAACAAGAACCAACCCCAGTGCTGAAGGCAGTCTGGGCAGAAGCAGTCCCATCACACGACTTGTTAACCCCACATGTGCAGTCAGTGTACCACAAGATGGGTTGATGGGTTGATGGATGGACTAGATGATCTTAGTAGTCTTCTCCAACCTTAATGATTCTATGATTCTGCTACCATCATTAGGGCCAAAAGGTCCCATATTTCAACTCGAGGTATGGGATATCCAGATCCAGTGTCATGAACACAGCATTTCTTCGCTCCCCACAAAGCCAGGGTTTCCCAACCTCCAGGAGGCTCCAGTCTCCGTCAGCATGGTTTTACCATCCCTCCTAGCCCCACTAGCAAGAAGACAGATCCAAACACAGCAAACAAGGAACATGAATTGAACAGCAATTAAGTAAACAGCACAAACAGGCAACTCACGATGTTGGTATGATGGGAACTGGATGTCAACACAAAATGAAAACCAGAGATGCGGCAGAGGCTGGGAGGAGGCAGCTGAAAGGAGGAGTGCATGGGGATACATCTCTGCCTTCCGAGAGCTGTTGGCTGTGCCAGCTGACATCACAGCCTCTGGTCAGGACAAGGAGCTCTTATCTCCTCTCAACTCACCTCTGGAAAAACCACTGTCTGTCTGTCTGTCTGCTTTAGGAAGCTTTTATTATTTGCAGATTATTTCAGCTCCACCCTCAACTTTCTCCCTTTTTAATGGTTTTGGTGTGTGCTTTTGGGAGGAAAGGCAGGCTTTCAAGAAAAAGCAATGTGGAAAGGAAAAAATCTCTGTCTACCCACAGTGAGGAGGAGCAAGGTGGGCAGGCTACACAAGTCAGACAAACAGTCAGACAAAGGGGGCAGAAGGGGCTGGAGCACCCAGCCTGGTACATTCTGCAGCCCTGTGCCATGTTCCCTGCTGCTTTCTGACTTCTATCTCCCTTGTACCTACAGCAGGAGCTCTGCAAGGCCTCTCAGCACCCGACAGGAGCCGGTCCTCCAGCAGCATGAGACCGTCAGAAAATAGCCAGGTCCCCATTAAGAGAAAATTCCTGCTGCACAACAACCTCCCCAGCTTGGCCTCTCAGGGACCACACAGGGAAGCTCTGGAAGAGCCGGCCCTTCAGAATTAATTGCAGGGCTCTCAAGGAGCCAATTTAATCAGAAGTATTCCTTAATAAATTCAGAGAGGAGCAAACACAAGAAAAGAAAAGCCAAGGCCAGACTGCAGCGGAGGAGAGGGGCGGGAGGGCGGCCAAGATGGGCAGGGCTCGGTAAAGTGGATAATGTGCTTCCAGAACTGTTCCTTCTACTGCAGCCAAGGCAGTAAAATGTGAGATGGCCCCGTCATGTTTGAAGTTTGTTATTTTTGGAAATTGCTTTAAGAAACACGGAAATAAAAGCATAAAGAGTGTATTAAATTTAAAGGGCCAGATTCGGATCTTAACTGCTCCAAGATTTACACGCAAATAAGCAGGATCAATCTCTCACCCAAAATGTACACTCACCTGCTGAGATCAAAGTGACCCCAGCCAGCACTCAGCACCGAGTGCTCAGCATCCCCAGCTCTGGGTTTGGGAGAGGAGATAGCTCCCAATTAAAGCTGCTAAACAAAACAGACTCCCATGGCAAATTGCTCTACCTCAGAGAAAAGGCTTACCACAAGCAATGAATAAAAAGAGGTTTTGGTAACAACAGTGAATTAAAATTACTGGGAACAACAACCTGGCTTGCAGAGGATGTTGGGACTGGAGGAGGCTCTGAGTCTGGAGGACTCCTCTGCGGACAGCAGGGCTCCCACTCCTTAGGGATGTGCAACCTGTGCCTTGTTTTGAGCTGAAGGAGCTCTGTGGATGCTTGGGGTGCAGGAAGAGCCAACCATGGGGCTGGTGCCATGAGCAGCCCTCTCCCCTGCCTCTGCTGTAGCAGAGGCTGACCAAGGAGAGCATCCCATCAAGCAGAGTGGTCATACAAAGAGTAGAGCTCAGCTACAGCTCCCCACATGGCTCCTTCCCACTTTGACTTAATAAAGTCAACTTGCTGACTTGAGGCGGGTCCAAAGGCCTTCATGGTAGAGAAGGCAATGGTTGAAGGTACTCAAGAGGAATGATGATGCAGTGGTCAGCAATGTGACTGAGACAATCCCTGCTCCCAGCACTGCTCGCTCAGGGCTCTAGATGGAGCAGAAACCAGAGAGCATCCCCATTTGCCCATCAGCCCCACATCATCACTCCATGACTGCAATGCCTTGGGAACACTGCTGGAAACCTTATGGCAGAGGAGGGCCAACAGGAGGTTGGGACCTGCCAAGGGGCTTTGAGTGCCAGGTCTGTGTGTTCATAGAATCAGGGACACTGGGTTAGTCCACACTTGCATGGTTTTCTCCCAAGTAAGACCACCCCATCCTCCTTCCCTGTGCTTATTTTGGAAATTTTATAGCAGGGCAAGGTAGGCACAGCAAGGGGAGAAACAAATGGCAAAACATAATGCTTCGAGATGCAGGTCCCAATTCCCCCTGGTGCTGAGTGCATTGTTCCAGCTTTCACAAAAACACCACGAAAACTCTGCTCTGCACAGTACTTTGGGCCAAGCCTATTTGTTCCTTTAAAAACGCCTCTCCAGGGAGACAAGAGGAAGGGACGTCGCTGGCGGTCGTGCTTCCCCGCTGACCCACATACCGCAGGCGGGAGGGATCAAGGGCCAGGAGGTGAGCTCAGATCCGGCGCTGGAGGAAGTGTCTTCCCTCGCTTCCCGCGGCTTCTCCCACTCAGACGGGGCGGCCGCTGGAGGGACGGGGACAGGGGATGGGGATAGGAACAGGGAATGGGGATGGGCACATGAATGGGGATGAGGATGTGCTGCAGAGGGTGTCCTTTCCCAGATGCTTGAAATTTCTTGGAGGATCATCAAAGACCTTCCCAGCCTCCTTGGCTCCTTTTTGGGAGCCCAAACAAGCCGGTGGCCCTGCTGACACAGGCAGCTAAGTGCAGCCCCGAGCATCTGCAGCCAACACACAGCAGCTGTTCTACCCCGCAGAGCTTCTGCGTCATCCCCCTGCTTGCTCAAAGATGAGCCTGAGACACAGCCCCGTGCTAACACCCCGTGCTGAGAGGACTGGAATAAGGCAAGCACACCGTGAGGGCTGAGGAGGCCAGCACAGGGTGTGGGAGGAAGGGACGACAGGACGAGAGCAGCATAGCAAAGTTGGAGAGTGGCGAAGCTGGAGAGCAGCAAAGCAACACCAAAGGCTCCTCTGGCTACAAGGGGACACAGCCAGTCCTGTGCATCACGTGCAGCCCAAAGCCAGATCAGCTCATTAAGGGTCTAGCAAGCCCTGCTTGGTACCGTACCCAAAGCTTCTGAACAAAGTCCTCCTTCATCAGCTTGTCCCCACTCCCTCCTTCCATGCACAGCTCACAAACAGTCCAAAGCTGGGAATAAAGGGGATTGCTCAGCCCCAAGGCAATGCCTCATGAATGCTGTGTCCTTGTCATGGTGGTCCTTCGATGTCTTGTGACCACTAAGTGACAGACAGCAGCCTGTGGTCACTGTCTCATGGCCGTGCTAAGTGGGGATGGAGGCGGAGCGTGGTTTGGCTCAACAAGAAGCGATGCAGAGGATTTGCATGAGGTCTGTGCCTTGGATGTGCACAAGATGCAGCCTGACACTCACTCTGCACTGTTCTCACCCCGAGCCGTGATGCTAGAGAGACTCTCACCCCCACAGCAGCAACACGCGCCTGTCCCTGTGAAGATGCTTGGAAGCTGTAGGCAGCACATGCAGGGCAGGTGGGCAGCACCGTTTGCCCAGGCAGGCCGGGAAGGATTTTCTCCTCTGCATTTCCTCCTGGCTTACAATTTCTGTGAGATGATTCACCCACTGCTGCCATCAGACATCACCCCACGCCTTCCCAGCCCCGGCCCCTTCTGCCTGGTGCTGCTGTGGAACCCAGAGCGGTTCCATTTTAACACACACATGCCCTCCTCCCGTATGCGGAGCCAATCTGCGATTCGCCTTTCATGTGTGCGATGTTGATTCCTGGCAGCGTTTATCTTGGCGCAAACACCCGCTCTGAAATGCGCACGCATTTTGAGACTCAAACCCTGCCTTTCTCTCTATCTGCTCATTAATCCTCATTGTTCCTAAGCCCCTTTTCAAAACACACCCGAAGGGAGAAGGTTCCTTTTTATTGCTGAAAAAAGCTTTCCAGCACCAGAAACACCAGCAGCAAGTGCAGCTGTACTCACACACATGCACTGTGCCAGGGCCAATACAACCCCACTAGGTGCCCAGTGCCAGGACCCCTTCCTCCAGCTTTTCTCATCTTTGTTTTCTTACATAATTTTTTTCCTGGCTCTGACACCACTCAGATGTCCCCCAAATCAACACACTGCAGCAAACTGAGTCCTTGGGTTTATTTTGCATCTAGCAAGTAGGGAAAGCATGGTCTAGAGGCAGAATTAGATTTAAAGTTAGGATCAGGCTTAGGGTTAGGGTCAGGGTTAGGGTCGGGTTTAGGGTTACAGTCTGGGTTAGGGTCAGAATTCAGGTCAGAGTCAGGGTTGGGATTAGGGTTAGGATAAGGGACAGGGTTCAAGTTCAGGTCAGGATTCTCAGCTCTCCCCAGCTGACTGCACTCTCTGGCAGCTTGAGGCTCCCTCCAGGCCCATGCCACCTCACCATGTGTTTTTGGGGAAAAGGTCCATGTTTCTGAGTTCAGGCAGATCCCAGAGCCAAGGGCAATGATTAACTTTGGCTGGATGGCACAGGTCAGCCGTGGCCCCGGACACTGGCTGCTGCACGTTTGAAATAGTGAGTCTTTGGAAAAACCATGACCTGACCAAACTTCATGGGGCTTTGGCTGTGATTAACCTCCTCCCACCCATGTCTGTCCCCGACAGCTGGGAGACTGCAGCCTTCCATCATCCTCTGACCCAAAGATG